ATTGAGCCAGGTCTCAGTTAATGCAATAATGTCCCAATCCTGGGAATTGACCACAGTGTTTTTGAAATCGACAAACTTGACTAAAAGCGATCTGATGTTTAATACTGCTATTTTAAGGTTTTTATTTTTATTCATATCAGTAGATAGATTAGCCATAGTCGACTCTTTCTTTTAGGTTTTGTACATAGTTTTGGTACATTGGACAACCTCTAAAATTTGTGGCATGGTCACATTGAATATTTTTTTTCTTTGTTCTGTTATAGTTCAGGCAGTTTATACATTTTGAAACATCAGACTTACAATCCTTTAACATATGACTTCCCGAGCATTTTGAACATATTATTTCCGTGGATTTGCATTCCTTTGCCGAATGACCGAATGAGTGGCACTTTATACACTTCACAATATGAAGGTGATCGCTTACAAGAGACTTCTTCCATCCTAAGAACACAAAGCCCTCTTGAAGTAAAACTTTCCGCACTGCCGGTGTAACTTCAATGACTATGTTGACACTGTTGAAGTGTTTCAGCTTCGTGACAAATTTTATGTCAGTCTGCTGAATGTTTGCGAAACTATTTAAGGAAATAATATTGTTTACTATGTCCTCAGGCGAATTTAAGCCCTCCAAATTTACATTTCTGACAAGCATGCGAGGATTCAGCTTCCTGGCTTGGGTAATGGAATATTTTGATCCAAGTTTGTTATTGAGACTGGTTTTGAGCGTGTTAAGTGATTTGTCATCTTTGCAGTGAACCGCTACACCATTCTTTATTCGTTTAGTGGAGTTGATGCAAACGTTCAGATTAGCTGGGTTAACAGATGACGTGATTTCTTGGAAAATATTCTTGCTATCAGCATTTTCCACTGCATCTGCCTTGATCAGCAACACAGATGAACTAGCGGTAGATGGTTTCTTTAAAATATCGCTAAATGTGCTTGGATTTGGTTGCAATGCAATTTTTGGTGTCACATAAACATTATTTTCGTAAGACTTCAATAAGGTTTTCTGTAGTTCACTGGAGTACTCCAGTTCCGACATCAATCGCTTTGTAAGCTCCATTTCCCTATTTAGACATTCAACTTCTTTTCGTAAGATACTAGTCTCAGTTTTAGATGAATCACATTTCTTATATAGGAAGCAACGGCAGTCATCACGCATAATAACGCGTTACAAGTTATGTTAGTAACAAAGTTTAGTCAAATCAATCGCAAACTATGTACTAAATTTAAATATTTAAAATAAGTACGAGATATTTCCTTATCTTTCTTCAAGAAATAACTTTTTTGCCACACAAAAATGCTCCAATAGCTATTTTCAACAACAGAATGATGAACAAACCATGGGCGTAGTGAAGAAAAGCATTTACTTATTAAGTAAATTCTTTTAGTAAAATTTCTTCTGAAAGTAGTACAAACTAATCTGATGTACCTATTAAAGTCTACTTGAAGCTTTAAATCAATAAGTCTTCAAAACTACTGAACTGAAGTACATTAATTTTATATCATTATAAAGGCAATGAATTGAAAGACCTTTAAAATAAGGTATCACTCGACCCCCCTTTCTATTTAAGATTTTAGGGTTGGTGTCACCCCCGCCCAGGGAGCTGCATGTGTTAACGTGATTTTTTTCCAAACTTCTGTCTTCCTCGAAAACAAAATCGACGGGTCTGAGCGTTTTTCCAAAAAAAACTGAGCTGCCAGTAAATGCGTCTGTTTGGTTTTCGATGCGCCACCCTGTATATGTATTTTTAGACAGAATAAAGTTAATCATCTTGAAATCCAGTTGTGGTACTAAGGGCGCAAAAGCCCGAAATAGGTAAATCTATTACAGGAGTCTGGAAGAGCTTGTTTCATACACCCGAAGGATTCTTTTACGAACAGCGACGTGGCAATTTAAAAACTGTATGTCGGCTTCACTGACGGCCCGACACCAACGTTCTTTGATTTTATGCGTTCAACTTTACAGTTCCAACATAGTGAAATCCATTGTGGAGGACAGTTTGGAAGGTCTGGTTTTATACAGTCCAAGTAAGATTCTTTCATGAGCAGGGACGTAGAAGTTCACATGAAAATTGGAGAGATGACCGTGAATACCAGTATGTTTTGCCTCCACGTGATCAACTTGAGAATTTGAATACAATAGAAGCTATCACGAACAAAGGTGTTTATACGCTCGAACTAGATTATTTCCTGAACAGGGACGAAGAAGTTTTAGTACTCTTGGTGCAATGGATGCATTCAATATACTCAGTTCAACTTATGAAAAGTGAGCCTAATAGTAATAAAAGTGGTAGTAGTGAGGGAAAGCGAAGCCTGGCAATTAGGCTTATTTTGGCCCCTTTGTCGACCCCGTGTGTACCAATACAGGGTGTTTCAGTTTATTGTTGCATAACTTTGAGATTCGATAGAAATTAATGCATAAAGTCTATATAAACATGGGTCGAAAAATCGTGGCTTCCGAACTACAGGGTGTTTAAATTTACTTTCTAAAATAGTTTTTTTAAATATTTCGAACAATATTTGATGTATAATAGTGAAAATTGGTATACAAGGGTTTTTTGGTACGACAAAATGAACCATGGGCATAGTTTTACTATAGCCGCTAGAGGGCGCTCTCTACTGTACCCTACTCTACTGTACCGAAATTTTTTTATTACTGCAATTTTTTGCTTTTTGAACAAAAAAACCGATTCTTCGCACTTTTCAACATAAAAAAGCTCTCTTGTGAATTTTCGTTATAGTTAGCCGTTTTTGAGATATTTCGATTTTTAAGGTTCGATGCATTTTTAATTATTTATGATAAAATAACGAAAAAAAGTCAGTATCTCGATAATTTTTAGAAGTAGGTTGTGCCTGCAAATATTTTTGAAATTGAAAGCAGAATAAGGTTAAACGTCAATTAGTTGACAGTTAGTTTTGTGGTCTATTGAAACCTGAAACGTTTTTTTGCAATTGTGAATGCATGAAATTTTGTTTCTTTTACCTGTTTTTTTGTGTAAGTTTTATAAAAATGCCATTTTTATTCTCCAATCAAGAGTTAGCGGATATTCATTTTGTGTATGGCTTTGTAAATGGAAACGCAGCAGAAGCAGCCAGTGAATACGCACGAAGATTTCCAAACAGACGACATCCAACTCGCTCAGTATTTGTAAGAGTGCATCGCCAAATAATTGAAAAAGGTTTTGGAAATCTCCAAAGGGATCAAAACATAAATGTTCGTCAGCGCAGATTTACCCGTATGATTCTGCGTGAGTTTGATAGAGATCCGACCACAAGTGTTAGGAGAGTTTCTGGTGCCTTGGGAATTTCAACAAGCCATGTTCACCGTGTTCTTAGAAATGACCGTAGACGTCCTTACCATTTGCAACCTGTGCAAGGACTACAGCCAGGGGACGAAGAACGAAGAATCACATTTTGTTAGTGGATTCTTGATAGAACTGATAATAATAGGGAGTTTTTAAGTAACGTTTTATGGACCGATGAGTCATGCTTCACTAGACATGGAGTGGTAAATTTTCATAATCAACATATTTGGTCGCATGAAAATCCGCATGCAGTTCGGGAAAGAAATTTTCAGCATGAATTTAGTGTGAACGTGTGGATTGGTATCTACCGTAATCGAATATTTCGACCCTACCTTTTGCCTGCAAGGTTAAATGCTGCGACCTTCTTGGAATTTTTAAAGGCTGAACATGCAAATATGTGGGATGATGATGTTAGATTTAAGAAGATTGGCCTGGTTCCAGCTTGATGGTTGTCCAGCTCATTATTCGAGAATAGTTAGAAACTGGCTGGACGAAAATTATCCAGAAAGATGGATCGGCCCTGGAGGACCAGTCGCCTGGCCTCCACGATCCCCTGACCTAAATCCATTAGATTTCTTTGTGTGGTGATTTCTAAAAGAAAAAGTGTACCAGACTCCCGTAACCACAAGAGATATGCTAATAGACGGAATCAGGAATACATGTGATGAAATAAGGCCTTATTTGAATAATGCTATACCACGTTCGATCATTCGTAGATGTGAATTGTGTATTGAACAATTGGGTTTACATTTCGAGCAACTACTTTAGATTTTGTATGTTTGTCCTAACTAGCCAATAGCATTTTAGTTGTAAATAATTAATTTAATTTGTTAAAAATAATATTGGAGAATTAAATAAATAAATATTCTGTTTTTTTGTGTTTATTTGGAGTTAGGAATTATTGCTGTGTTTAAAAACACAATCTAAACGATCATCTTAATTACATGTAATGCCCAAATCGAAAATGTAAAAAAAAATATTATTTTCCCATAAATAATTAAAAATGCATCGAACCTTAAAAATCGAAATACCTCAAAATTTATAACGAAAACTCACAGGAGAGCTTTTTTATGTTGAAAAGTACGAAGAATCAGTTTTTTTAGTCAAAAAGCAAAAATTTGCACTAAAAAAATTTTTTCGGTCATTTTAATACACTACAGGTACAGTAGAGAGCGCCCTCTAGCGGCTACAGTAAAACTATGCCCATGGTTCGTTTTGTCGTACCAAAAAACCCTTGTATACCAATTTTCACTGTTATACATCAAATATTGTTCGAAATATTTAAAAAAAACTATTTTAGAAAGTAAATTTAAACACCCTGTATTTCGGAAGCCACGCATTTTTTGGCCCATGTTTATATAGACTTTGTGCATTAATTTTAAAAGTTCTGTCGTATCTTAAAGTTATGCAACAATAAACTGAAACACCCTGTATATGCTTATCTACTAAAATTAAATATCGAACATTCCTGATGGTCGAATGAAGTTTAGGATAGAACTTTATGGTTTTTTGACTAAGTGAAGCCACATAATTACATTTAAATTACTTTTTGCTACGTTACGGCCCCCACTGTGTTATTAAGATGGTGGGTCGCAGAGGCGTTCATGCCCATTATGTCAGTCTCTTACACTGCTTTCTGCGAGGAGCAAACAGAACTTTTGTTGTAAATGAGTAGTTATAATAGGGATAACTCACATGGTAATCAATATACTCCTCTTGATGATGGTGGTGTCCGTGTCCGCCATCACCTCCTTCACCCCCTTCACCTCCATGCGTGATCTCATTGCTGATTCCCTCGTGCTCGACAATCTCGTAGCCGCCTCCAAGATGGCCGCCCTCGAGGCCTTCAAAATGGCCGCCGCCGCCTCCACCGTAGTGCTCTAGCAAGCCGCCTGGTCGCGCGTCTATACACCACGCGAAGAATGCGACTGCACACACCTGTACACAAAATACAAAATGCTTGAGGCCAATGAAGAACAGTATTCAAGATTGTTTCACTATTTCAATCCCTTGGAGATAGTGTCTTACGGTATCACAAAACTGAGTTACAAAGACTTACGGAAACCAAAATTAATGACTCTCGCGCTCCTTACTCGTAGCGGCGCCGCCACTGTGCCGTTTTCGAAAATAAAGCTCTCTCGCCGACTATCATATCGCCGTACAAATAAAGTTACATTGGCTGCAATGGTTGCTGAGATTAGGCACTTGATCAAAAACACATAGACACCGACAAACAGACCGACGAACATAAGTGACATCAATCTTGTCTATTTTCATAACTTTTGTCAAGGAGTGCTTAATATAAAGCTTCGGCGTATTTGTAACTAACCTTAATAAAGTTTTTTCAAAAGGGACTAATACGTATTTGTCGAAGGAGATGAAATTAGATATTTTCTTGAGAATCTAAGTACTAATATTTTTTTTAAAATGCGTTGTCCATTTCGGAAAACAACTCAGGGTCACGTCCCTTTTTTTAGATTTCTTTTCAACTTCCTGCTTGCAGCAGTATTCTGAGTCCGTTTCATCTGATAATTTCATGGTGTGTATAGAGATGACTACAAAACAATGTTTCCATTCCTTTTTTTGTCAAAAAATGCATTTTTTGTGCATTTGATTGTGCATACTTTCTTAAATCGGAACTTGTTAACAAATATAAGTACAGCTCTTAAATTGTGTGTGAATATTCATCTTCCATGGAAGAATGAAACGAGTGTTCTTGTCTTATCTTGAAGTCCCGTCTCGCAGCAAGTTGAGTTTTCAAGAAAAGCAAAGATTTTTCCGAAAGGAAAACTGATAAGAACAAAAGTAATCACTCGTTTCATTCTTCCATAAAAGAGGAATATTCACACACAATTTCAGAGTTGTACTTGTATTTGTCAAAAAATTTCCGATTGAAGAAAAAATGCCCAATAAAATGCACAAAAAATGCATTTTTTTGACAAAAAAATGAAATCCTTGTTTTTTAGTCATCTTACACTTACACACTTTGACATAGTTTGACGCTCCTAATAGACGCTTCTATAGAATGAAAATGTAAGCAATAAGCAATACCGACTAAAATTAGCTGAAGGCTGAAAATAAATATATGGACATAAAACATTTCTGAAAAATATAATTTGATTAATCTAACACCTGGAACATATCCTTCGGCTTTCAGGTGATAGGACTCCATGGTTGTATTGCCGCTAAATGAAACCACATATGATTAAATAACTTTTTACTAGTAAAGCTTCGGTCACTATGGTGGCCTTTTTGGATATATAAATGACATTGACAACAAATGAGAAATAGACTGGGAGGCAGATATACATAAAATCATAGTTGGTTGGACTTTAGAATACAAATGACAATGACAATATATACAGGGTTTTCAGAACTTTTCTTTTTAGGAACAACTACTTTTGAAATAACTTGGCTAATGGGCGGCAACACAGCAGCCAAAACGTGAAAAAAATACCCACCATTCGTTAAGGAGTTTCATGTACCCCCCCCATATGTTAGGTTTGTAAATACTGCTTGAAGTTATAGCCCTTCGATTCGAAAGCAATATTTTTACTTCCTTCTCCTTTTGCAATATTTGGGGCTGTCTCAAAATTTGAACTTTAGTTAACAGAGCGTATAGATCAGTCAACAATAACCAAATTTTCTTGGTAACACTTCCACCAATCGTTTCTAAAGAACCGAAATTGGCATACACCTACAGCAGTTACGAACTGATTTGATGTTAATTTTCTGTGAGCGTCTACAAGATTCTATTGATACTACGTGAGTGTATTCAAAATGTCATCTTTAATGTTTACGTCAGAGCTGGGAAGGTTTGTTTATATCGTGCAAAATGTATCTGTGTGGACACAGCAGAAGGCATACGTTGCAGATATAGGAGGAACTAATGAAACTCGCGTTTTTAATCGAACGGCGACAACTACAGGCAGTATTAACAAACGTAATATCTGACAGGGCGGTACTTTAAACTCCTTTCTAAATAATATAAAATATAAATATCTTATTTACGTTTCCGCTGGGGTATCACGGTACGTTAGGTTTGTTATTTCATACGTAGTTGTTTCTGAAAACTAAAATCCTAACTCTCATGACACCCTGTATTTATTGTTATTGTTATTTGAATTTTCAAAATTTTCGAAATTTTGGAAACAAAACGTAACTCAAACATATATGGTTTCATTTAGTGTCCAAACAATCCTAGAGTCCTATATAATTTGTCATACCTACCGCAATATGCAGATTCATCAAAGCTAACAAAAAGTTTTGTCCAGATATTTCCTTAATGACTTTCCAAAAACCGGTATACAGAATTATTGCTGATATAATTTGCCACAAGCTCACAATACATTTGCTTTGGATGTTCCGTTTTACTCCGCCGATCTTTCCCAAAAAGAAGAATTTACAGCTTTGTAGATTTATTGAAATCACCATAACTGACAGATTCCATCACTTCCTACAAAGACCCAGCTTGATTATATTAGAAAATATAAGGTTTCATGTACTGTCATTGGTAACTCTGTGAACTGTGGAGGCTAATTTTCCACTGATTGATATTTAGAATAATCCAGGTTTTACTGGATAGAACAAGTTTTCAAGATCCGCATTTATTTGGGAGAAAACCCTGTATGTCGGACACCTCATACTGCAGATGAAAACGTACTTTTAATTTTGATTTTCGTAACTTTATACATAATAAGCAGTTATACCACTTATGAGGAATTTCTAAAAATACTATTTTATAACTTCTAACGTCCTGAATACATTTTCACGTTTCTTTAATACCTTTTTACCAACAGTTTTTAGTAGCACAACCACGCGTTTACTTCGACAAGGTAGACTTCTAAAATAATTGTTATAACATGGATACTCAAGCATTATTTGATGACACTGGTTTTTTTGATTTTAGACAGTTGCTTTTTATTGCGGTTAACACCAAACAATGCAAGTATAAAAAATCCCTCGCAAATATATCAACCACCATCACACCAAACATAGAATTAATAATAATATACCAATACCCCAAGTTCAGAAAGTCAAAACACAACGAAGATATACCTATCTCGGTCCTGTATTTTATTGAGAAATTTCGAATGAAATTAAAAAAGCCTTCAGGATCTTTATCTTCAAAACTGAGCGCAAAGAGTGGCTTCTTAATACCCCCGGATCAAGAATCAATCAGCTATTAGATAGAAAAAATGTTTACGATAATTATGAATAGAATAACACCTATGAGCATATACATACATTTGTAAACTAATTTTAAAATATTTACGTATTGTTATTTTGTTAGCTCTTGAACAAGGTTCTATGCGTTTTACCGATTATTTGCTACTTTAGGCAAATGAACATTATTATTATTCACATACTTGGATGTTCTATGATTTCTTTGTTATTTTTTGTAAGTTCTTGTACATGAGAGATTCCGAAAATACTGTTCATGCGAGCTGCAGCTTTCTAATGTTTGCATACCAATACACCTTGATTTCCTGAACTATAACGCAAGATCTCCGATCACTCCGAGTGGTCACAGCTTCCGCGCGGCGCACGCAATTCTTAAACCGTAACAACAAACGCACTATATATACGCATGAATCGGCTCTACTTACTATGTAAAATTGCATGGCTTCACTGATTTTTTCCGGGGGAATTCCAGCGTTTCGGATAGGACTGATCCCCCGATGACCGCCGCTGTGGTTTTATACTAAACACTGGTGGTGGAGGATGTGGATGTGAAAGGACTCTTCTTATCGGGGGACCAAATATCGGATCGCCCACCAGGATCACCGGGGTGGGTGGACGCTTTTTCAAATGTTGTAGAAGTCTGTAATTAGTTGGGCGAGAAAAGTGTTTTTTTGATAAAGCTAAATCCTTGTTTCTACCATCAAACACTTGCTGGTTTTAATGTACGGCACATAGTCGTATTTCAATTTCATCCAAAAAAATTGGACAAATATATATTTTGTACGCAAGGAATGGTGACAAGTGAATATGACTAATTACTTCTCCGACATGAACTTACATCTGTTTTACCTTTTTTCGAAACATTTTCATTTTCACGCTATGCTCCTAACTCCACCCCACATGACTGGTTTTCAAACTTACGAACATACTTTAGTGATCACCCTTCGTCGAGTGACAATTTAACATATAGCAGTTAGGTTACGTTTACAGTTTTATAAACTACCTACTTTGGTCAGTCTATATGTATTATAAAAACATTCAAGTGTCGATTTTAATTATTTAATAGTTTTTTAGAGTAGCGCTATATAGTCGTGTCCGACTGTTGGACTATTTTACCCCTGAAATTTTTTTCAAAAATGGTCAGGACCGTCTGATACGTCAAAAAACGAAGCAGGGGCGATTTCGATTCCTTTCGTTTTGGCATTTTTATCCGTCGCGACTAAAGCGATTTTCAAAAACTAAAAAGCTTTTTCGTCCTTGGCATAGCAGAAACCTTGTGTGGAAATTTCATTAAAACCCGGGCCAAGAATTACCGGCCAGAAATGACATGTTTTTTTATGATGTACATACCATATTATAACATCCAAACAACGTCTCATTTTCGAAATGTTTTGCATTACAATAATTCCTTGCCAAGTGGCGAAGGAAGTAAGAACTAAAAGATCTCAACAATTTTACTTTCTCCGCTACAGGCGAGGGAGTATTGTAATCGCGAAAAATTTATAATCAGGAAAAATCATGTTACTTGATTTTGTCGGTCTATACGCTAATTCTTGGCCTGTACTGGCAAATTACTTCTTGGGTTTTGATGAGGCTCTTAGACAAGGTTAATACTGTACCAATGACAAAAAAGATTTGTAGTTTGTAAAAATCGACCCAGTGGCGGAGACGGAAAAAAATTGTTCAAATTGTTCCAGATTCATCACTTTCAGCAACTTTTTTTGGTGGTTAAGAATTTAAGGTTGGGGGAAGGAATTTTTTGGTGTTAGTATATTCATACGCTTCGAGCGCCGATAATTATACGCATCTATTAGACATATTCCACGCACCATAGATGTCCCTATACATTTGCCCTTAAGACTTAGAATAATGGAGAACTGTCTTCAATATGCGTATCTGCTTCTGCTCTCTGGGTGCACAGACGGGCGTCACGATCTCAATTAGTGTCTGTCGTTACTGCTGCGCTGCCGCGCTACAAAGCTTGACGCATCGAGTGGTCAGGTGTGGGGCAAGAGTGACGTTGAAAGATGGACGGTACTACCGGTAGAGTAGCGAAAGGATGTCTATGGACTAATTCTATAGACGAGTTTGACTAGCTTGATCCTTATAATCTCTGTGTCATACATCTCCGAATCTAATGTTTTGCTCCGGGGGTATAACTTGTGCTGATCGTAATCCTTTATGAACTTATGACGGCGTTACGTGGGAAGTGCAGAGTCAACCCTCTTGATGTCATGTTTTTAAATGGAATGTTATACCTTTTTCTCACATATTCGGATATATATTTCCAAGAATGAAGATCGATATAACAAACTATAACGTGTTAATTGATTTACAGATGATTCATTTCACCAAACAAGCTCAACCTTGACAAACTGCCTGTCCGCGATTTTGGAAGATGCTAATCTTATATTCCAGTTTTATAAGAAACTCCAAAATGGGATGTCGCGTGGCTACCTGCTCCATTTAAAAAATGTTCTCTAGCGCCATCTTGATATTTTCGACTGTCACATTCAGGACAAAATATGGCAATCGGGCATCAATGCATCAAGCATACACATATACAGTGAAATCCATATACCACTGACGTCGTACCGTGTACGAGAGGAAAGCGCGAGAAGCGTGCAATACGTGTAAGATGGAAGCACCTCATAGCCTAGCAAACCGAGTGAGGAGGACACAGACGCAGCTGCGGCTTGCCGCGTGGCCATCGGCGCATTCTCTCTAATGATATTGCACGCTTCTCGCGCTTCTCTCTCATACACATTGCGACGTCATCCAAATCTAAACCTCACCGTATAGGGTCCCAATTCAGCATCACGATTTTAGGCAGTCAAAACGCTGATTTTGGGACATTTCCATGAATATTGGATTGCTGTATTCCAAGAATCCATAACGCTGACAACATGGTCTATATTCTTACAATTCCAATAGATTGGTATGGTTTTTGAATGACTCTGAAGATTTAAGGTCTATTTACCGCTCTAAATAAGTTTGTTATGGGAAGCATTAGCTTAACCTCCACAGTTCGATTTTTTGCTGCGTGACTTGAGAAATATTCGAGATTGCATGCAAATATACATAGTGCTCTCATTTTCGCCAGCTGTACAAAGTTTTATCTTGATTCACTGATCTTTTCATTGTCTATTTAGCTAAAATGCATTTAAATGAATGCTACTTTATAGATAACAACGTGCGTAATATATTTTCATTCCCAATGATTAGGTAATGCAAATGCATCATTTTACGATTCCTCAGATGTAACGAATGTTTCCTTTTGAACAAAAAAGGCAGTTTTTATCATCGTGGACAAATGTACTGCTGTACGTTTACGGAATAGAAAATCGACACCAGCTTCCGTTAATGAAACACATTTAAGCGAAACTAAACCGATCTTCTTTCCTGTAAATCAGTTCACACTCCACGTTTATGAAGGTTTTAGCTTGTGAAATTGAAAGATGGACAAGTAGATTGACTCAGTGCTGCTCGTACATGTAAGCACACAGCTTCACCCTGTTGACAGAGACCTATTGAGTAATTCCCACAATGTTGCCAAAAAAACAGTAGATATTTTAAAACGTTGAAATACATTTGAAAAAAAACATAAAACCTTACTGCAGTAACTGCAAAGAATGAAGTTTTAATTGTGCTCTCGAGATGAATCTAGGAACATCCCTAATGTCACAATCTTTCAAGCCGTTTGGATTGTAACCCGTTGATAGAGTATTGAATGATGAAATTTTATACAAAAACTATCAAGCTGTATGAACTGCAGTTCATCAAATAGAATTGTCCACACACATACGTCTTTTGACGTAGTCTGGTAGAAATCCATGCTTCATTGCTGAAGATCACTCCTAGTCAGTCCAAGAGGATAGCGAGATGACCTTCAAGGCTAGAACTACAAGGTGGTGGCCGCATTTTTGATTAGTCACTTAGTTGGGTGAATGAAGCCCCGTGTGCAAAACGTGCTGGAATACAGAACACCCTGCAAAGCATTATGTATATCTAATTGTCCTGCTTCGAGTAATAGCAGCAAGTCATGCATTAAAAACTTGTCATACCGAATTGTGTAGTTAGGAGATTATCGTGCATAAGGAACAGCTATATTGATCCTTATTAACTTGATTAGATTATTCCATTCCAATATCCGTTATTTTTATGACGAGGCGGAAACAAAAGCATTGGCGCCACGTAGTATGCGATTCATGATACATGATTCATTTTTCTCGAGCATATGGAGAATGTCGCGAAATTATTCTTTCACATTGACTTAATTAAAAATAACAGTTGTAGGTAACCCGCAGACAACCGGATGGTAAAATATCCGGTATGATGAATTCTTTAATATGAAATTCAGCAGACGCTACCCATAAGCTGCTATTTAAAAGCTTTTTTTTTATCGAGTAATGTCCAGTTGTTTATTATAAATACCACAATGAATGTTCACTACGCTCTCCAAATTAAGCAACAAGACGTTTTTATTTCTATTGCATTATCAACATACGACTTCTTTGTATATTATGTGCCACCTTTACTTCTCATTAATTTCTTGGTTACTTATTCTAGTTGATTATCAGGACAAAGATCCTTTTCGCATTCAACAGAACAATAAGCTCGTTTGTGTTGCAAAATTTTTTTTAACGTGTAGAACCTAATGACCATTTCTGGACCTGCTTTCATTACCTATTCTGCAATAAGGTAACTAATACTGTCTGAACTTTGTTTATAACTTGTCCACAAAATTCAATTAGTGCTGATGAGGCTTTATGAATGTCTAAATAATTTATACTTTTATTACTGGGAACTAAAAAATGCTACAGTTACAGTATCACAAAAACCTCAACCTTTGTGCAAGCAAATGGTATCAAGTAAACTAACAACGTACCACCTACTAACTTACATCATGCTTCTATTTTCAAATTTCCCATTCGCAAAAATAAGATTTGACAGGTTACAAAATGTTTAGTATGCTTGAAAAAATGTTTGACTTTACCCTAAAGTACGTAAGTAAAATAAGTCTACGTGCTCAATAAGCTTTAAATCTATCCATTATAATACCTAAATTCTTAGAATTTTTATTATATTTCAAAATTTTATTTGTCATTTTTCCAGCACTTCTCTTTGCTGTCGTTAAAGGGTTCAAACGGAGTTTATGACTACTGCTATGCTGTTCAATTTGGACAAGACCTTGATTTGTGAGATTATCCGCTGTTACCAAGTCATAACTTCTAAGCGCAGAAAGCATCTGAACATCGTCGGCAAACAATTACATGTCGCATTACTTTACCTTTTTTTCTGAATCTTTTCCCAATGAAGATAATTTTTGTCTGCCGTAAAGCACTGTTGATTTGGATGAATATTTTTGAAACAATTTTCGAGACTTGTTTGACCAAACAAAGAATATTTGGTCAATCTTTCGATCCATAAAAAACAAAAAATAGTTAAGGAACACATTTTTTACAAAAATGTGTTCC